TTATATCGAGTTCTCGCAACTAAATATTTGTATGTAAGATTTCGGCGCGATTCGATGTCAATGCGCGCTTTCGAAAGCGGTCGGTCTTGAATTAAAGGTCCCCATGGACGAAACTTTAAACCCACTTGGCCAACCCTCATGCAATAATTTAAGCTTCGCGCGTTCCTGGCGTGCACGCGACACCAGGAATTGCAACCTGGTGACCCTGTCGACACACGGAAATAAATCGCGCGCCGAGACACGAAGAAAATTCGTAGTGGACCTCTCTTGGAGGCGAAGAAGAATGACACGAAGGAACGTCCCCCTGTCCTTGCGAATCGACACCGAGCCGCGCATTTAATCGTTCCACTTCGTAATTAGTTGGGCCCAGTAACGAGCTACGTCCGGAGATCTGCGGGGCTCGCTGGTGGAATTGCAAACATTTATCATCTATTAATTAAGCGATTAGTCCACGGCGTCGCGCTAACGAGAAAGCCAGTGCGTGAAAGGGAATTTCTTTAGCACGGGCGCCGTCGGGCAACTTCTGTAGCTGCTTATACAAGAACCCGCTCGGAATTCGAGCGTGCATAATTCTAAACGTTAGCAGATTCAATATTCAATGGTTTATTGATCCCCGAGAAATAACTTGTTATTTCCTGTCATCTGTGGCAGAAAATCTGCTATGCTAGAATTCAGGTATATTCAGGTATCGAGATTTATGTTCGCTCTCCGTCGATTTTCTACGCTTTTTGTTTCTTGCGTTCTCCGCAATCGACGGTCTGTTTACGTAGCACTTGACGCTTCATTCGGTTTGATCGATAGCGTGCTAGATCGAAACCAGTCGACGATAATAAGTCATCTCTCTTTCTTTTTCTTTCTCTATTCAGGCGTTTAATGAACGCCTGCTTGTGCTTTATATTCAATCTTCGTAGGAATGACCACGTATCTCACGTGTACAACACGTTGGGTTGGTTATCTGCGGACGACAGAAGAGTTTATTTTATATGCAGTTTCCTTAACTCCAGTCTGGGATGCCCTCTTACCTCGCCTGCAATTTTCAGCCCCGTGCCCGAGTCACTTCACGTGCCTCTCCTCTGGGTCTTGCTTTTCCGTTGTGCAGAACATCTACCTACGAGTGTTCATTCACGTACGTGGCCTCTTCCCTCTGGAACTCTCTGCCTGACTCTATCCGCGAATTTGAGTCTATCAGTGCGTTCCGGAGAGAGGTCTTCCGCTTTCTTCAGCGTTGTAATATTGCTTAGTTCGCCGCTTCGTCTTACTCGCTTCTTTGCGCACTCAGATTTATACTCGGTACTCGCTTCTCTTCTTATCTCATCACTACATCACGCCATTTTCGATTTCACCTTCATTCGCTCTTTAAATTTTGTATCATTTCTTTATTGTTTCATTTTATCATTTTTCTATAATTTTCCATTGTTACTTAGCTTTCACAATTTTGTATCATTTATTTCATTTTTATTTTATTATTTTTCTTTTATTATTTTTTGTAATTTCTTTTTCTTACTTTTGTATCTTTTCTTGCGTTGCTTTTCTCAGTATATAACTCTGTACAGTTCTTAGAGGACTTGCCCTAGAACTATAAGCTTAATCTTTTTAAATCTTAATCAATCAATCAATCTGCACAACTCGTCACAGGCTGCAAGGTGAGGATCGACCCGAGTATTCCAACAACTCGCGATTCTGTCTAGCAGGAAAAGGCGGCAATCATCGTACTTTACGTCTACGGGTACGCATTGAAATGAGCGCGTGGGTAGCGGAGAGAAAAGACGCAGGTAGATTCACGAAGGAATAATACGGCGCTTTACGTTTTCGCGTAGATCGGCGCGAGAAATCTCTCGAGTAACATCTCCGACGACAATGTCGGGGAAAGTCTGCAGTGCCTCTTTTCGGCGCGCGCCCGCTCGCATCCGTGGAACGAAGGACTTTGTATATTTGTCTCGGCGAATTTTTTTGCGGGTTGCGGAAACGTTCCTGTTTCGCAAGACGCCGCGCGGTTGCAACGTGACGCGTCGCCCCCGCGATTTTCTCCGCCGCGACGGGAGGAACCACGGGGTCTACGGGGTACATTATAGCGTTGATTTTCGCGTAGGTTGACACCGGGGCCTCGACTGTGACACGCGGCGCCAACTTGGCGGCGACGGTTGGACGTTACGCCGATGTCACGGCGCTCGTATTATTACGCCCGGTCGTGCGCATTTCTGCGGAAACGCAACGGGGTCCACCGTTTATCAGCGGCCGTGCAGTTGCGAAAATCGCCGTTGCGTCACAAAATCAATCCTGGCGCGCGATACATACGTCGCCGGCGCGAGACTCTAATACGCGGCCGCGACGCCGAAGAAATTTTACGACGATCGCCGTGACTTAAACGACGGCAATCAGTAGTTCCAATGGTCATAACTATACATGTGAAGCTTAATAGCTCCGCTTATTTCAGGGATGCAAACCGGTTTCACTCGTAAATTGCCTGCTTTCCGGTACTGTGACGCGACAATGAGCGATATGTTTATAATTGCATTCATTGTTCATTTCTTCTCTATCCGCGATCCGGAAAATGCAGCGTCTAATTCTCAACAGCTATAAATATCTGTCATTATACGTAATTATATACATAATTATATGTAATAAATAAGATCGATGTATAGTTGTGGCTACTACGTTTTTTTGTGTCCAGATATATGACGTACATTGCATTATATATGTTATAGCTTCTCGTTAAAATATCAATCAAATATCTTGACGCGTGTTGTTAAAAGATGAATGAATTGTTACGTAAATTGTTACGTCGCAACTAAAGACATATCTCGCAGAAATTACAATGTGGCCACGCCGTGACTACTCCGACCGGAGAAAATCATCGTAACAATCCACAACGGCAAAAGATTTACAAGAAGAAATAAAGTTGGGCACACCGGTATAAATAGCGAGCACGAGGCGAGGTACCGTTGCGACCGTATCGGGTTGAGGGTCGGGGTGATGCGATCGTGATCGATGTAGAATGTAGATCGTTCTTTCGATCTATCTGCGGCAATCCGTGCTCGGGCTGGCCGATGTGTCTCTATACCGGCCGATCGGCAACAATCTACATATACCGGTAAACTACGCGACGCTTTTACGTGCACACTTAATAGCGAGAGATCGTCGTGCTTGTACAAGCAAATAAGTTATCTATAACATATATAAATGCAAAACATTTGTACAAGCGAGATCTGTTTCCGGGTCACGCTATGGCAGGTTGACGCCGAAGATATCGGCGCTATATTGTTCCTCCGTGCTCGACATTCGCGATCCTCTTGCATCGATTAGCATTGATTTGTGGATCATCGTGATTGGCTCGCGGGACTGGCAGCCAATGCCGATTTATTCGAACGTATGTACGTAGTTACGCTACGGCGATCCTCCGTTTATACGAACGATCACGGGTAATCAGCTGGCCATTCGCCCGCGGCCGTACGAGATCGAGATCGCTCGGTCTCACGTGGAAGCCTCACGCACAGCACTCGTCATGCTTCGATATTTCAATAGTCAAGTGTACCTATATATCTGCGCTATCGCAACTGAACACTTGAGGTTTTGGTTGTGTAACGCACGGGGTGCTCGCAAATTCGAATCCGCCGCGGCGTCATTGAGAAGAAAAGGGAACAATGGGTGTCGCTCAAAGTTAAAATAAGTTCCGTAGATTTGAATCCGCGCTCTCCTTTCGCCGCTGGCTACGGCCTATGTGGCTTTAATTGTATCGCAACGATCTCTTGTGAACCGAGAAAGACACCTGCGACCAACGAGTGCCGCAGCTGATATCCGAGTCTTCCAGATTGCGTAACGACTCATGCCTAACAAAGTGTGGGACTCGATGTATTCGAGCCGGTGAATGCGGGGGGACCCTTAGATTTACCTCTTTCTTTCCTCGACGAGCGAAATCGTACGTATAAACTGCGAAGATAGGATCTATCTCGAGACCACGCCTCGAGAGAAGGATCGAACTGTCTCTTCCGTATACGTCGAAATTGTTTTTGATGTATCTCGCAAGGATTAGCATAAGGTGCGTCTCATAGGCTTATCGTCTCAGGGTTCTGCATTTCATTTACGTAAGAGCATGATGAATAATAGAAACCATCATTAAACTATTCGGTTTCTGTTCGTACTTATACGATATTGTAATTTTTTCGTGTATGTATATACAAATTTATGATGTAAAATTTGTAATGCAAACTTTTAGTAAAAAACTTTCGCCCAGAAAATGCGAAAAACAAAATAAGATAATTATATGGCATAAAATTAACGTTCTAAAATATTCATAATTATTACTTCTAATTTTATATTAAAAGACATGGTATAAATGTTTAATATAATGTTAAATTTACAGAACGAGATTGACATCGATTTACTTCACAATTTACATATAGCACAAGTTAGGTTTCTAAGATGTAATCTAAGATGTAAATTGTTGTAATTATTATTTCTAATTTAATATTGAAAGATATACAATGTAAATGTTTAGTATTAAATTTTTATTTAATATTTCTAATATCCAATTCTCTATTTTTTTACATTACATATCAGGTTGGTTAGAAAGTCTTTTCGTATTTTCGTATTGTGTCAAAATTGTAAATACGAAAAAACTTTCTGACTAACCTAATAAATAAAATTAAAACAAATAATTTCTTCAATAATGCAATAACAACTGCAGTAACGCACTCTTACAATTTTCGGCGTTACCTTGATATAATCTTATCTATATTAGATATTTTTATCTACGATAGATATTCTCCTCCATTATATATTACTTTTTACTATATATTTTGTTATTCTGCTTATCTATACAGCTATAGATACTCTATTTGACTATTTCGATATGTTATTTATATATATTCATTTTTTCTACTATATGTGCTGATAGTTATATATCGATAGTAGATAGAAGAATTTACGTTTTCTCTACTTTGCCGAGACTCTGCGGGTAATACTATCATTTATACTGTGGAAAGAAACTCATAGAGGGACTTAAATCAGTTAGGAACAAATACTTTCCCATAAAATAAGGTCCACAAAATACTCCGATTTCAAAATTCAAATTTCTAGGCACTAAAGGTCGCGTGAATCAAGTAAAAATTGCTCCAGGGTTCCAATTTATTTCAGCTTGATTATTTCACTTAAAAGAAAGAACAGTTTAAGTTGTGATCACACAAATAACTCATCCTTGACAGTGACAGTGTACACAGCCATGTTGTAACCGTATTGGACAGCTGACCGCGTGGAAGATAATTGGAAAGATTTTTTCGTTTATTTATGAGAGAATTCAATGCTTTAAAAAAGTGCATTTCAAGTGCTTTTATCAGGAACATAGAATTATTTAAGTCAAAGCAAGCTTTCCTGCGATTGTTTCAAAGAAAATACTTCCATGTACTCCGTTGTCGAACGGACCTGCATTATCGATCTGAAGGGTCGAAAACGCCGGCGTATTATTTAGGAAATAAGAAATATTAAAACTTCACTTCGCGCACCGCGCTCAAGGCAAGCCAGTGCGCAATTTCTATGATGTGAGCTGACTCACATCTCGCACGCAGTATCTTCACCATCGCCTCTCACCGGCGCACCGAGTTCCACGCATGTGTGCTAATGCGCGGGTTGTGAGGTCATACACCCACCTTCACAGGTGGTTCGTTTTTCATTCAAACCGTGCAGAACGTCGTGAGATAAACGCGCGAGAAACACTCAAGAACATCCGGTCGCGGTGCCAGTAATTCTTTTCACACGATGATCATGAGGACGTTGTTCACGGTTCATTCTATGTGTTCATTTTCTCTGATACTCGTATTCACGGTCACTGCCATTGGCGGCAATTACACAGATATTAATCTACCGCACGAGCATATCAAGTATTATTTCAACTCTTTTCCCACGGTAGCAGAAAAATGCCGCAATGATGCGACGTGTCCATATAAGGTAAGACTTGTATTTAACTTCAATTTCTTGACTTGCTTTTACATTTTGTACGACATATTTCAAATATATTATTATAAAATTTTATTTAGAAATTATGAGCATGATTTCTGTGGATTTCGCGCCTGCATAATAATAGTAATAATATTTACATTTTTTACTCAATTTTATTTTAAAAAATTTCAAATTGTTTTTATATAATTTTATATAATTCATTAAAAATAAGACCGCACCAATTTTATGATGTGTTCCAGGATAGTCTCGATATTAAAGGGTGTTGGGGTTACGAAGAAGATTGCAAAGCAGAACATTCTTTTTCCGTTCCGCATTGCCCAGGCGATCACAAGGGATGGGTCGCTACAAAAAGAGCTCAATTGGATACATTTTATGCACAAGGCGATTTCGGATACGTGCGCGATCAAAGAAAAGAGATGATGTTATTATGTGAACCGTTATTCTTAGTAAGTTCTTGATTCATACTAAGTATTGAATTAGAATATAAATCTGATATATACGAATAATGCAAAATGCAATAATAATTTCAATGTCACGAATTCTATTTTTTGTAAGGATGATTCGTCCTTGGAGTGCTCGGAGCACATGAGGTTCTGCAGAGCGAGAAATGTGATGCTAAATTTCACAGATCTGCTGAAACGAAAGGAACCTATACGATACAAAATGGACGTTCTTAAAGAAGGCCAAATTGGCGGCTACTGCACGTGAGTGAATATCAGCGAGCAAAGCAGATCATCTGTGCGAAGAATTGGAAAGTGTATCTAACTTTCTCTTCTGCAATCAGGCTGAACGAAAAGAGATTACAGGAAAACGCGGATCACATTAGTCCGCTGCAATCCTGGGGGCCAGAATTACGAAACTTTCGCAAATTACCTCATCGGCCAATTGTTCATGGCGATTGTGACGTCGTCATTGAGAAACCGACTTTTATCCTGAAGATAGATGCGAGTAAGTTTGAGGACACTTGGAGAGAGAATGTCAAATGTCAAATAATAAATTACGGTTCATATTCGTCACTTCGTTAAAGTCACTTTGTTTTATGTTAGTAGTGAACATGTATCATCACTTTTGCGATTTTTTCAACCTGTTCGCATCATTGCACGTGAATCTCTCGCATTCATCCGCCTTTGATACCGACAATCATCTAATGATCTGGGAAAGTTACAGGTAACGAGCAAAACGAAACGTAAAACGAGACTGGCACAAATATAAAATGAAGGCCACGAAGAATTAAATATCAAACTGCATTTTGCTTTCAGCTATCGATCGGCGTTCCAAGACACCTTCGAAGCATTCACAAGCAACCCGTTATGGGACTTGAAAACATTTCGAGGAGAGACAGTGTGCTTCAGGAACTTGGTGTTTCCCCTACTGCCGCGAATGATTTTCGGTCTTTTCTACAATACCCCACTCGTACTAGCATTGTATATTTTTTCACCGAGATACTCCACATTCCAAAAAAGAAAAATAATTATTAAAACATATTATGTTTTAGATTTATGGCTGTGAAAAGTCCGGATTGTTCAAAGCCTTTAGCGATCATGTGATGCATCGACTTCAAATACCTCTTCACCAAAGGAAAGATCGAAAAATTCGAGTAACATTGCTGAGCAGAGATACTCAATACAGAAAGATCTTAAACGAGAATGAATTGGTAAAAGCTTTGAAGGAGGATCCGGAGTATAAAGTTAGGAAGGTAAAACTCCAACAGAAAGATTTAACTATCTTTAAAATTCTATAATATTTATGTTATGCATCCTACAACCGATTTTTTTTTAGGTGATATACAATAAAAATGTGTCTTTCAAAAAGCAATTGGAAATCACTAGGAATTCCGATATTTTCATCGGTATTCATGGCGCCGGCTTAACGCATTCACTGTTTTTGCCGGATTGGGCAGCAGTATTTGAAATGTAAGAGCTCTTATAAAACTTGAAAAAATATATGATTGTGAATATTGTGATTATACATTTCAACTATTTTTGGCAGATATAATTGCGAAGATCCTAATTGTTACAAAGATCTTGCACGTTTGAGAGGTGTAAAATATTTTACATGGGAAGATACATCAAAATTAGAGCAACAAGACCCGGTATGTTTTTATAGATTATTCACGATGTAATACTGGATATTCAATAACTTAATTTTTATTATAATCAAAGAAAAATTTGAATAGTAAATGAAAGCGATTCTATAATAAATATACGTACACGATATATGACACTTTTGTGAATTTTTTGTATTCTATTTTATTCTTCAATTATAATTAAATTTATAGCTTTCTGTTATCAACATAAACATACATGCTTAAATAGTTGTAATTTATAGGGGACACATCCTGATGGCGGGGCTCACGCCAAGTTTACGAACTATAGTTTCGACGTCAAAGAGTTCCTCAGAATCGTTTCGCTTGCAAGAAATCATGTAAAACACCATAATGCATTTAAAAAGTTTAACAATTCTCACAACAAAATACAAAATGATACTAGGACGACGGATAATGAAGAATCAGTATCACAACCTTCCGACGCTAAAGAATCGATACTACAAAAATCGGATATATTATCCAAAGATGAATTATGAACAAGACTCTTAGGCGCTAAATTAACAAGATGAGGTATGAAAATAGAACGTGATCTAAAGTGCATTTGTTGATCGAAATCCTTACATACTTATTTTTATACTAATGTACATACTTTGTTTTGATAAGTAAAATAAACGCGCGATAAATCTGGATATGTCTGAGTTGTATTTGGCAGTACTTTCTCTTAATTTGTAATTAAAATTTATATTTATATAATATTTAATTGTATATCTATATTTGGCCATATGGAATTTATAACGTAATCTTTCTCTATAACGAAGAATAGAAAAAACTATTAATAAAATTCATTGTACACGTTTAGGTATAAATTATGCAATATCTTTAACATAAAAAAGATTTATGGAAGAAATATTGTTTTCAGCAAGATTGTCAAAATCTCGATCAAATATTGTAAATTCATTAAAACTGACTCAACACCATCTTTGTACACATTTCACAGTTTGATCGGTATTTTAAGCCTGTAAAGTATCAATGCTGAAATTATACTCACAGCCATATATATAATTAATATTAACAGAGCTACCGATTGCTCGGCGTACAATGTATGCACTGACATATTGACAATACCAGTCAGAACGTTACTGACCAGGAAAAAGAATAGGCCGTTGTAATTTACAGCGTCGCAAATCTCTAAGGATCTCCTGATTACACACTCGTTACTTTCTTCCCTCTCACTCTCCACGTGTTTCTTTAAATTCAATCGCAAACTTTTACGCATCCTCTCCGTTTTGCTTTCAACGCACGGCTCGCTTATCGCGCAATTAGTTATATCCAGCACAACCTCTACGAGCAACAAGAAACTAAGCAGTGTAGTCGTTAGGATCACTATCCACATGCAGTACCCGGCATTGGCTAATCTCCTCGAAATCTTGAAATCGCAGAATAATATCGCGACGCAAGTTAGCGCTGAGATCAGGCATAATTTAATACACAACAGCATAGACTCATTGTAGCGAATTCCGAACTCAAAACCGTGAAGTTTCACAGATACGTTCATACCCGATCGTGCGTGGGAATTTTGATATGTTGAATGTATCAATCTCCCAACAGCTACACCAACGAAATACAGTCCTACGTAACCAGGTACGGATATTAGGCCCTCCCGATTGGCAGAGAAAAAGTCGTCTCGCGGCCCGTCCCGCAAAACCCACGCTTCTAAGCCCTTGGTGCCCATGGTGTACTCATGCATCCACAGTATCCAAATACCTGAGAGTAGCGAGTACCTCGAGCTAACGGTGCTGGTGATCATGCTGGTGAACAGCTTGACGATGGCTAAAGTTACAAAAAAGTTCCAATGAACGCCGTACTCGGTGACGTGCTTCTGATACCCTACGTACTCGACCACCGCGAATCGTCCGAGTCCCAGCAGCAGGAGGGGCACGCAACTTCGGAAGCAACCCTTCATATTTCTCGTCAGGGTTTCCGAAAAACCCGCTTGACGGTAGGCGGAGAAGTCCCGGGCCTCCGGCGCGACCAACGCATTCGCCAACACGAACAGCCCGACACCCGTGTCCATTAGACTGTACCCGGACACCTCCGTCTTGGCGAACCTCCGTGGGAAGATACGAAAGTCGACGGCCAGTATGCAAATCGCGGTGATAATGTTGGTCAGCGCGCGAAAATTAGTTAGGAAGGGTCTTTTGCCGGTGACCGGCCGCATAGTTAAATCGGTGAGATTAACTCTTTTTCTCAAGAGCAGCATTATGTTTAGCAGAGAAATCAATACCATTGTCACGCACACGGCGACGATGCTTTCTGACAATACGGTACAACACAAGATAGTCGGGATGACAGTTAGTGTGAATTCCACGACGGCTCTCACATTTTCGTGGGTGTACTTCTTAAGGATCCCCAGAGTCGTCGCCGCCAGCAGGACGCCGCATACGGTCGGCAGAAGCGTGAAAATCACCTCCTGCGGCGTCGTGCCCCCGTGATTCGAGACGAACGCCTCCTGCTCGAGTCGATATTGCTCCATGCTCGCCGGCGGCGTCATCGCCAAGTCGAATTTCAGGCATTCTACGAGCGTGCCGACAACTCAACTATAATTTCGCACAGTTGAAGAAAGTGTATACTTGACAGGCAAAAACTTACGGTTGCGGATAATGCTGCTCGTTTAATTCATTACTCGCGTGTTTCGCCACGCGTGCGATAAGTATACATCGTATGTCAGTTTAGCCATGTATAGCACGAGAGATTTGACGTGAATGACGTGTGCGCTGGATCAGCTGGGCAGCACATGGTCAGTTCATATCGCCACAGATGGCAGCACGTTGTTTTTCTTTATTGTTCTGCGAATCTACGCGATTTGACGAGAAGAGAATGTTAATAATCAAATGTTCAGTGGTCTGTTATTATCTTTCAATGTAGCGTCAAAATTGTATCAAAACACTGTGCTATGATTGCAATATCATGTGATTAATTGAACTACTTTATATTAAAAAAATGACACATGTTAATATTGCTGCATTAAATAAATAATCTCCCGCGTAATGCTTTTTGCTTGTTAAAATGTAGCGTGTACGCCTCTTCGTTATTTAAGTATATTTACGCAACTGCAGATATGCATTTAATACCTTTAATACGCAAGAAAAGAGTGACATAACCAAAGAAAGTCAGAGAGTCACATGGAAGCAAAAACCAACAATAAGAGATCATTTCCTTTCGATGAGGCCTTTACCACGAACGATCAGGTGAAAAAATTTAAAGTACACACCAATCAAATGCCCAGCAGTAACGCCAACATGTCTGGACATAGTTTTGTAAAGCACTCCAAAGTACAATCCTCAGAGACATTGGAACGTCTTTCACTTGCTGAAAAGATGAGGCCAACGAGTATTGCGGCTTACGTGGGACAGAAACAAATCATTGGCCCAGGCACTGTTTTGAGCTATTTATTGGAAAAGGGAGAGATTCTTAGCATGATATTCTGGGGTCCACCTGGATGTGGAAAGGTAAATCTAGATTTATTCTTTAATTTTGTTCAGCTGTTGTATAATAACCATCTATAATTTATGTTTTAGACATCCCTGACGAATATAATAGCATGTTTAAGCAGGGAATTAACGAGCAACAACGTACACATTGTGAATCTGTCTGCAGCCAGTTCCGGTGTAAAAAGTATAAGGGACGCCGTTGCCGCAGCAAAGGATAAATCAAATTTCGGATGCAAGACCATTGTCTTCATGGATGAAATTCATCGTTTCAATAAGCTTCAGCAAGATATATTCCTGCCACACATAGAGGCGGGAACGTTTACTTTAATTGGATGTACCACCGAAAATCCATCTTACAGTTTAAATCCAGCTTTACTAAGCCGCTGTCGTGTGTTTGTGTTGAATAAGTTAACGGAACGTAATGTAAAGGAGATCCTTTATAAGGCACTAGAATGTATAAACGGATGCACGCTTGATGCACAGGAAAAAGGACAGACAAACGGAGCAAGTAGAGAGCAAATTAAATTTCGTTCCAACGCAAAACTGAAATTTCATGTTGATGACAATACAGTACAGTGGCTAGCAGAAGCATGCGATGGCGATGCACGTGTAGCTCTGAATGCTTTAGAATTAGCAACGCTTGCGAGGCAAGCGGATGGATTAAAAGCATCGGGCAGTAATAATATAACAATAGCTCTGAAAGATATCAAAGAAGGTTTAATAAAAGCGCATACGCTCTCTGAGAGAGAAACCAATCAGAGCAATCACATGTATTCCGCGCTTCATAAGTCGATAAGAGCTGGTAAGGCAAATGCCTCCCTGTATTGGTTGGCCAGAATTATGGCAGTTAAGGAAGATCCGGTAAACATTGCGAGGCGGCTAGTTAGAATATCTAGCGAAGACATTGGTCTAGCAGATCCAGAGGCCTTGGGTAAAGAAACGTGATATAATAGGTGTTTTCCATTTAGTGACATATACATACAAGTCGACGCAAATGTCATACTATCCTTGGCATTTAGTGAGTAATAAAGACTAAACGACACTTGAGTCGATTCATATTTGCTAAATGGAAAGCACCCAATATTTTTTATAGTATATATATATAACTAAATTGTTTTAAAAATTCAGGTGTAGCTGTTCACACGATGCATGGATGCCAAATGATTGGTATGCCAGAGTGTGACGTGCTTTTGGGACAATGCACGGTTTACTTAACGAGAGCACCGAAGTCTCGAGCGATATATAATGCATTAGATGCGGCTAAGAAAAAGATTTTGGAATGCGAAGGTTCTCAACCTGCTGTGCCATTACACATGAGATACAACTCAGACACAAAGTTATAAAGTGCATAAAATGTTGATAAAATTTCTTTTGTCTGCGTAATTCTTATTAGTTTATAGTCTTTTAAATACATTGTTACCATTTTTTTATCAGTATTACTATTAAACTAAAAAAATATGGAGACCTATGTTTACTTAAAGAGTTACAGCGTATCAATTACTTTTTTTAAGAAAAGCAGAACTCGTAAATAATTAAGATCTATATTATATAGACACTTTCGTTTATATTTATATATATATCTACTTGATTACAAAGAAACCTTTAATCTCTTCAATTTTTAAGCAAATTAAGGTAAAATCATTATCTCGTTCCAATCTGAGAGTGGGCGATTGAAATTGGATAATCCTCAATCCAATCCATTATTTGTCATAAAATGATTACTACGTAATCAATTATTTAACTATTATCAATCTCGCAAATTTGCACTTCCTCACTTCGCGAGACTTTGTAATCTCCCTCGGTGTGATGCAATATTCATGAAATATGAATGATACGTTTAATATTAGCGCGCCATTGCCGTATGACGCAATCGACCAATGACGTTGAACACTATATACAATCCATCTATTGGCTGACGCTGCTATCGTGGAACGGACTACGGAGTACACATACCTACTGATGCACCGTCGGCCGCGATCATTTCCACTTACATAGTTACATCACCCTGCACACATGACACATCTTTAAAGACGGCTCGACGTACGACAGACGCCCGACAACGCGACAGTCTATTCCGCTCACGTGTCGCACGTTAAATTATCACAGTGCCCGCCCTTCATGCAGTGTCCGTTTGCCCTAACCGTAACGCTATGAAAATCTGGACTTCAGAGCACACCTTTGAGTGAGTATGAGAACGTTTCTCCGAACGAATATTCATTGTGCTCCGTTACGTGCTTGACGTTAATTATCTTTGTTTGCGACGGATTTCGTCTCGTCTAAAGATCGTAATGCAGTTACACGCTACACATGCCCTTGTTACACAACCTCGTTATAACCTCGTTTCTGTTTATTGTTACACCCTTCAAAAATGGGCAACGTCTCGTCGAGTAATGTAGGTTATCTCCAAAATGCAAAGCTGCAAAGTGCCCGTTTATTTTTACCTATCCTTTCTAATGGATTTCCGAAAATTTGCGTGTATATTTCACAAGGGCAAGAGGGAGAAGGTTATGAGAGTCCGTCTCCGTTACATTCATTGTACATTCAGTTTGACCTAACCTAATTTTCACAAGAGAAATTTTCTCTCCTCGCTTTCACCCGGCTGGAGGATGCTCTCGTCGAACGAAATAATTTGTAGGAATTTAACATCGACATGATTATTCGCTGGATGGGTAATGAGGGTAATTTATTTGCAGTCATCCTTGGGAGACGGTAGCGCAGGCTGCATGGAGAAAGTATCCGAATCCTATGGTGCCTTCGGTTATCGGAGCGGATGTGATCGACAGAGAAGTGGTCAACGGTGTTCTCCGTACCCACAGACTCGTCGTTTCTACCCAATGGGGCTTTCCTAAGTGGACGCAAGCGGTAAGTGTTATAACTTTCCCACGTGTTGGCGCGCGTTCGATATCGCATTCGGCATTATACCCAGCTCTAACCTTACCTCTAACTCTAACCTCGAATCGGCACTGTCAGAATTGTAATTGCGCCAATTTTTTGGGAATGTTGCAAATAACATTGAAATAAATAAATTATAACGACGAAGCAATCTTTTTACACGAAATTTTTTTATACACGGTATTACGTATTATTCATACAATATAGAAAATGTATGAGAATGTATCTGTAAATATTAAAGTAGAATAAACACGTTTTTATATAATTAGGAGAAATATTTCTGTTATGTAACATTTGAAGATGTATTTTTCTTTCGCTATTTATTTCGATGTTACTTGTATCATTCCAAATTAGTATTATCGACCCTGACAAAACTGAACATGATGTTTGCCAGTTGTTACATGTAGCTATCACGTTCCATTTACGAAACTACTATCTAGATATCAAGTGGATATGTCAAGTTGACATTGTTATACGTAGTTCTAATTATATGAGTATAGTTTTTATGTAAATGAGTTTACTTCGCGGCCGGAGTGCGATTTTCTATAGCCGCAGAAGACAATCTAGAAACGTGTTAAAACGCAGAGTGTGCTATAGTATCGCATAAAGCGATTAACGTGACAGATGCCTTTTAAATACCAACCTGATTTCTCGATTTAAAGATTAGATAGTTTTGACTTAAAAAAACACGGTTATATCTCGAGCGAATGATCGAGAGACTATTTACATCACTCATATCTATATTTTATCGATCTAGATTAACTTTAATCTCGGTTTAATTTATTCTATCTTTTTCTAATTTTTAGAGCTAGAAAAAAATGAAAATCAAGTTAAACTAAAATTAATCTATTATTGATAAAAAAAAATGGATAATAGAAGTATCTTAAATAATCTTAAATAATAATTATATATATCTGTAACGAAAATCGAATTTCGAACAACTTAATAACTGGGAATTTTACAATAAAAGTCTTCATTTGTATTTTATGTGCCCTATCGATGTATATATATTTTAAATATATTATTATTCGAAATTGAACAAAATTATAGTAAATTAAAAAATATTATCTCTTTGTTGATCATAATTCATTTCGTAATTCGGATACTCGGATTTAGTCATGATGGTTAATAGTTAACAAGAGAGATTACCATATACTGTAATTATATGACTTGATAAAGAATCTTCCTGTTTATGATGGAAAATTACTCATGTGTGTCGGCCGCATAATGCCAAAGAACATTCCATCACGTATTATGACATTTATAACCACGTGGGTGTCGACCTGCTGTAAGGTCGCCGTTTAAATCGACTTTACTAGTTGAGACGCGCAGACCGAGCTGATGGTAACACTTTACGAGAACTTATCGACAGCTTTTTCCAATTAAAAAGATGTAAATAAAAAATAAGTTCTTTAGCTTTGGCTCTTTCTGCTTTTTCTATATCAAAAATGAGTTTTGTTCTTATTCTTATTCTTCTTAGATTGGGCTGTATCTTGCCATCACTTACCTTTTCCACAAGTATTTATAAAACTATATAGTAAAAATGTGTCTAATATATGGCTCTGTATGATGTGTAAATGTATGCGAGTGCCTATAGTGTATCGAGTTTGCTAATTGTAAGCTACTATGTCTGCGGATCATACCTGCGGAACTTATCTACACCTCGGTTCATCGATTTTTTTCGGCGCACTCTCGCGGCGTATGAACAAAACCGTTTCATTTACGTACGAGTTTATCAGAACGACCTTTTCGAGACCTTCGCGACTTGATGTCGCTCGCCAGTAATGCTTGAATAAGTTATCGACTTGCGCCAATTACTCGGAGACCTTTACAATTTATTGTTCTAACTTCTTTACGCGCAAAGTCACGTAACTATACTAAACTGTTTGACCAAGAAAAGACATGACTTAGAGTAGATATTTATAACTTTGGTCAACTGGACTTTAGTACAAATATATTCAGTTATATTTTTTAACGCTTAAATATGTTACTTCTTAACTTCTAATTTTCTTACTTGAATAGCTCCAATTTTCTAAGAAATTTTGAAATTATATCACTGTTTTCCTTCGAATTAATTTTCTGAAATAAATATGAGAAAATAGGATAGCTAATAATAACATCTTGTATATTTTTAGAGATTCTAGTATTAGCTTTAACGTCAATCGAGAATAGGGCATAGTATTGCATTTATATTAGTCCTTGAAATTTCTTGGTACAGTTTAATGAGAAAATGAACTTCGAACGCAGCGGAAGATGTTACGACATGCTATTTACAGTTTACGTAATCAGCATGCTATACTACATTTGACTTTTTGGTGAAATCTTGTTTGAAGAGTTGTTTCAAGGTAACACACAGAAGGATATTTTAGGTCGAAGTGTAAATGTTTACTAATTTATGATCACTTTCTCTCTATTTTATATAACTTGCCTTTAGCTTACTTTTTTATTAAATTTGTACCGAATGTATTTGGTGCATGAATTTTTTATACGAAGAATCGCACATAAATTTAAAAAGGTGTTTGTTTTTATGAAAAATCTATCAATTAATTTTATCTTATATTAAGACGTATTAATATTACGTAATAATTTCTTAAAGAAACACTATCGTTATATTTAGGGATTTCTTATTTCTGTTATTCGTCAAAAAATTTGAGTGATATTGCACCTTGGTACGTAATTTTATCGGCTGGTGCTGCTTTTTCACGGTCGTTCGCACAGTAAAATTGACGTTGCTGCACTGATCTCCGACGACAAGAAATCAATCCATGAAGCAACCTAACAGAATCATTCACCTCTTTCTGGTATCGCCCGTGGCGTGTGTCGCGCAAAAACCTCGCGCCATTCACCCTAGTCTAGCAATCTCCGCCGGCGCGCCGCGGCATCGTGGAGACCCGGAAATTCGAAACTTTCGACAAACGTGCGCAAAAAGAAGGTGCCGGGGACCCGGGGAATTGCAAAACAACATCCGCACTGGCATCAACTTTCATAATGAGCACGCTCAATGTTACGCCGTTTGGCAATCGTCCAGACGCGCCCTCGCCTTCTGGAATACTCAGGCAGCTCTCTGTTCTCCCGGATTCCCCAATCCCTCGCTATTCCACGGTGCCTTCGCCGGAATACTGGAGATTCCGGGGCGTCGAATCCCTTTCGGCCCAGCGAATCGCTTCCTCTCGTCAGATTTTCTATAAACTCGGCCATTTCGCCGGGCCGTTTCGTTGTGCAACCGTTCGTTCAAATGGCTCGACTCACTGGTATCACGTATAAGGTGTTCGAAGAACGATGGAGATAAAGAGATCGTCCAATAGACGATAAAAATTCGACGCGAGATTTATTTTACGAAACGACCTAATTTAAACGACTTAATCTATTGAAATAATGGACGAGATTGACGAGACATTTTATCTTTTTATGTTCCCTTTATTTTAACATTTTATTTATTGTTGTAAATAATATGTGTCTGCTAAATAATCAAATCGTCAAAATAGTAATTAATGGATACAACAAGAATTGGAAAAAGCTGCCGATTTTTGAACGATGTATAAAAAGCAAATACATAATTTAAATTGTGAA